GATTGAAAGAAATTTATTGACGATTTTCTAGTTTATTGTAATAAATATTTTGTATATCAAGTCGTTTCTTCAATCATATGCATTTCCACTAAAATTTCTTGCATATTGAAATGTTTGCCTTCACTTCGACTTCCTCCTGAGTACCTTGCCAAGACTTTATCAGGCGCGGGTGTAACAAATGTTTAATATACAATAGCGCTGGAAACGCGCCGCTTGTGTTGTGTGAGCGTATCGCAAATCGCAAGACGTAAGTTCAGAATTATAAAGTGGTTACATTGTAAACAGATACCTGTCTAATGAACAAGATGTAGGGGTTTCGCCATTGTTCGAAATCACATATTTCGTGACACCAATGATAATAGAGCCAAGAATTTAATTTAAAAACCGCGAATCCATAGGAATATCTTTTGCCAACGTCAATGGAAAAGTTAAGTAACGAGGAAATGAACTTCTGAATGCACAAAGCTTTTTGTGTGAAAAGAGTTCCGGTGTAGGTACGCATAAAGTTTTAATCGCAATTCGAAATGGATTCTATTATTATAATGCTTTACTTTCTATTGTCATGCCATAACGGTTTGATACACATCAAGCTTTTAGTGAACAAGTTATTAAATTATTATAAGCAAATCGGGCTTTAATTTAAATTTATTTTTTACTCTACAGCGCTTCAAAGCAGTTATAGATGTGTATACTTTATAACTGTACTAAATTATATTTTATAATACCACTTGATTGCATTGTTTTTGTTGACTTCGTATAATTTAAATAAGTGATGTTTTATATAGATACAGATCTATTAACTTTGTAATTTTTTATAAGACTACCCAATATTTTAATTGCAACGCTAACCTAACTTCAAATATCAGTTGATCCAAATTTTAGGTATTTTATATAAAATAATAGGTATTTTATTCAGCGAAAAAACAGGAATGATTGTAATCAAATGATCGAAATGTTATTGAACAATTTTGAAGTACAAAATGATGAACATATTGGATTTTGCTAATAATACAATAAATGGAGGCGCGTTTAAGATCATTCTTAAAACCGGCGCATATAAGGACATATACGTTTTTTAACAAACTTTTTTATTGGATAATATTACATAGAATTTATAAGGATCAATTACAACGCGCTATGGATGAAGACTGATTTCAATTTATTTTACAATGACTTCATAGACATCCTTAAGATTTTCAATTCTAAAGTGATATTTTATATAGGTATATATATATTTAATTTCATACATAAAAGCTAATCTCCAAATGGCACAAGTTGTAAGAACACTTGATGGCAGTATGTTTTTAATAGCTCTTTTCATACTTATATTTCAATTAGCTTATAAGCTAATTGAAACAAATATATATATATAATATATATATATATATATATATATATATGTAAACAATACTATATTATGATAGTATAATGATATTCCCAGAAGGTGTATACAATTTGTATCTTTATGTAAAAATTAATGTATGTATTTAAGTCAAATAAAGCAAATTTTCAAATTAAAAAAAATTAAATGGCACAAGCGTCAAAATATTACCTTTAATTCGACTTCATCTATATGTTATGACAACAGAAACTTGCACTTAAGATATGATATGATATTACTAAACCTTTGTTTATTTGTTTATTAGTGCCATTAGTCATGAACAAAACAGCTTATAGAACATAAAAGTAAGAGTTGGTGCCCATTGAGGGTTTGATTTTATAATGAAACGCTCGATCGAACCGCAAAGACAAGACTTTTTGACAGTTTGTAGGTACCAACTCATGCAATTATGTTCTATCCCGAGAATTAACGACTAAGTGATATATAGTGCATAATAATTTAAATATGAGCTATTTCAAGAGTATAGCTATATAAAAAACTGTATTTATAAGGGAATTATTGTAATGTGAAATAAAATTTTACGAAATAAACTTAGAGGCCGATTCTGCCGTAATTAATCAATGTTATGGCAACACTATGGTACGTAGATAGTTTCTCATATAAATGGCACTAAAATCTGCCAAAATACTATGTGATTGCTGTGCTGTCAGGCGTTTAGATAGAAAAAAACCTAAGCTAAAACACGCACATTCTTATCATAGTGCATCTTTGTGATGTGGCATAATAACATTATGAGTGAAGCGCATATGTTTAAAACCACTGATCGCACAGCAAATGCATAGTATTTTAACAGTTTTAAGTACATTTTATACGAGAAAGGCTACGTAACATAGCCTTGCCCTTCCACATAGGTTCCTCCACAATAAAATAATTTAAATTTATTTTATTTTTAATAATATTAAAATTATTTAGACCAATGAAATAGTTTTAAAAAATACGAGTATATTTTTTATAATAGCGATTATTAAAAGATAATTTTGGATAATTATACATAAATTGAAAACAGAATCTTTCTAATTTTCTTTTTTTCTCTCATGAGTAGAGTTCTGTAAGACATCCAAACATATTAATTCGTCTTCAAGTGCATGTAACCTTTAGCAATAATATGTTAAAACACCTATAATTATCATAAAATGTCCATTAAGATTTATCTAATTGTTGGTGTTTGTTGCTTGGCAGCCTTCCCGGGGCATGGCGCCGCCGAGTCGTCTGTTGGCGGCTTCTACACCGCACCTTCCAGCCGCTATTGAGCAACACGTGCGCCTTCGGAGATCGCCAACGACGACAAGCTCGGATTACAGGTAATTTCAACAATAGTACGCACCTTGCATGTCCAAGCCAAACATTGCTCATGCAGTTTAAAAATAATATAATATAGGGAATGATTGAATGCAATTATGCTGAAGTGCATTTTTTAAATTTAGTATCTAATGAGGCAATTTGAGCACGACCGCATATAAAGTTGAAATCTTTACACTTACTTTATTATTCTTGTGCAAATTCTTGAATATTAAAACTTACAATTTTCTTAATTATACTAATTATTTGATAAATCGAAGAATAATGGGTGATCTTTTTCAATTGCACATTTTGTTCATTAAATATTATGCTATGAATTTTATTTAGTTAATAGTTTGATATATTTGAGTTTATTTATTATTAAGGGGGTATTTTAGTGTTGAAGCATTAATTGTAAGTCATTTTTAAATCAGTGTAATAAAAGAGACAACCAGTGTTTTTACTATTATTTTCTATAATTCATTTATCAACGTTACAAGAGTACAAAAAATGTAAAAACAAAAACAAAAATAGCAATTGCTGAGGTAGGGGGTCCCAAAAGATTGACATAATCATGTACACGATTGCAGCCCTCATAGTAACCCCAATTCAAAAAAAAAAAGATTACTAATCCAGAATGCTGTTGCTATGGTATATACTACAGACAAGTTAGAAAAAAATATTTGAGGAAATGTTTAAAAAAAGGCCGTTTTTAACCACTTTGAGTTTCTAGAATTTTTAAATATAGTAAACATTGGAATTTGGGGGTGTGTCTAGTATATGTCAGAGAGGAGTCCATAAAGATTTTTTGAAAATTTTAAGTAGATCGGTTCAGTAAAACTCGAGAAATCGTGATAATCGTATTGAAATAGACGATTTTGAGAAAGACGCGTTTAAAGTTTTGCAAAAAGAAGGTAGAAGAAGAAGATTATCATGGTCAAACCTTGTATCTTCGAAAATAATTTAAATTTCTAAAAATTCTCTTCTACAAATATCTATAAATAGTTATACTTTGAAAATATGAAACAAAAAAAAAACGATTTTTGTGAATTTCTACAGTAGAATACCTTTATAAGTAGGGTAGAGCGGGGCACAAAGGTCCAATTTGACTTTGAGCAATTATATTGCAAAATCCAGACGAATTTCATTATAACAAATACTACGAAAAAAACAAACAACTATCAGACTATGTTCCAATTTCTTCATCATTGTAGAAATGTTTTTTCTATTTTTCAAAAATTTGTCATCTGATCTTTTTTACCCCACAGGCGGGGTAAAATGGAACAACAAGGTGGCAAATTGATCCAATGTTTTATTTTTAATTTTGAAAGGATTTTACTTAATAATAGCTGGAAATAATTTTAGAAATTTGTACTAAATTTATTTTTGATACAATTTTATTTCACATTAATATCTTTTTTCTTTATCCATTCATAAAAATTACAAAACAATTCCCTTATAAATATTCAACCAATGCAAAATATATGTTTTTTTCAAAGATCACACTTGTATATAACCTTGATCTGGTATTTCTTCGGAAATATTTATCAGCAGAGTTGGAATAACTATTTTAATTTATTTCTTGTAAAATGACTTTTTGTAACTGAATTTACATTTTTATTCACTATTTTTCCTTGTTTATGCCTATTCCAGGGTAAAGCTTCAATTGGTCTTTTTTACTCCAACCACATGTAAGCTAAGTTTATTGAATAATTGTCTAATAAATGGAAGAACTGATTTATTTTAGCTAGCCGTATAGAAATTATTTTCTATACAATGTTAAATATAATGAGCAATGATTTTTCCATTAATTATTACAACCCGTTGGTTGTGTTTAATTATATATTATTTTTTATAATAAAATTAAGTAATTTATTTAAAGTAAATGGAATTATATTATTTTAATTCTAAATTAAGAAACTATACACTGTAATAATACATATCATTCAAACATTGTTTTAAAAGTTTCAACACGAGAATTGGATATTCTATTTTACTTTTGGAAATTGGAATCATTAATTATTCAATATTTAATTTTTTTAAGAAACATTATTATACATTTATAAAGTAATTAGGGTCAAATCCGTCTTAATATGAGTCTACAGCTTTATTTTCAGGAATGGCCGAGTGCTAAATGTCTTTAAAAAATCTATAAAAGTCCATAAAAGTAAAATATTTATGTTTGGTATCTAACGAGTAAAAATCATGTATCTTACATCCTAATCGATGTCAAATAAAAGTATTCCAATATCTATTTTGAAGCAATATTTATGTATGGAAAATCTATTTAATATATATTTTTCTGTAAATAACAGAAAGTATGCTGCAGAAGTTCAGAAAAACTTTTTCGTTGAGATTCAATAAGAAATCGGAAGGAGAGGCTGGATTTATGCCTCCTAGCCCATCGGAAAGCATCGGAAATAAGCGCTCTGATACGCTAGAACGATACAGGTGAGCACCTTATGTAATAGATTCGCCCAAGGTAAATAAAATATTTGCTTGGAATGGAAGATTTATGTTTTAAAGAAATAAATTTAAGACTGAATTTTCTTGCAGAAATAATTGAATGTTTATCATAAAATATAATATGAAGGTATTTTGACATGGCATTGGTATGATTTGACATGACATTGGTACAGCAAATAATTTGTGGGTAACATTGATCAAAAGATATATGATCGATACTAATTAACACAGTAGCGTATAATAATGATATCCTTTAAGTTATTTTCATTTATATTTTTTTAATTTTCAATGCATACTATCATTACAAATTTCTTTTATTCCCATGTAATTTTTTATTTTCTTGTGAACTAAATATAAAAAATATAAAATATAAAAATAAATATAAAATAGTTCTAAAATTTTTCTTGTAAAATATAAATCTATAGACAAATCTATATTAATCTTTTTTTTAAATTGATATAGGTTATATTTCTCTATAAAACGTATATTTCTTACAGACCAAAGTCGTACAGAACATAAAATATAGACATAAATCTATTTTCCTCAAAAAAGTCAGCATGATTTGATGTAGATAGGATGCGTATAGGGACAAATCTATTTACCAAAGATAATATAATCGCAAAATTTTCATATATTTGCTACAAGGATCTATTATAATGAAAAATAACTTTAATTGAACTATTATGAGATATGCTATAATGATTTATAATCTTTAATTATTGCTATAATAATTTATAATCTTTAACATTGATAATATCATTACAAAGTCCCTTTATCCCCATGTAATTTTTTATTTCCCTCTAAACTAAAATAATATCGATCTAATATTTTTCAAATATAAATCTATAGACCCATCTATTATATATTGAACTTCTTTGAAAATTGATATGTGTATATTTCTTACGGTACCAAAATCGTACAGAACATAAAATATAGACATATATCTATTTTACTCAAAAAAATCAGCATAATTTGATGTAGATAGGATGCGTATAGGGATAAATCTATTTCCCGAACATAATATATTCTCAAAATTTCCATATATTTACTACAAGAGTTTATTATAATGAAAAATAACTTTAATTGAACTATTATGAGCTAACCTATAATAATTTATAATCTTTAATTGAACTATTTTGAGCTAAGCTAATGAACTATTGAACAATTAGACAACTGAAATTAAAAACAGCAAATGGTGTCGATTTATTAAGCTGAATTGCTACATTTTGATATAAATTATTTATAAGTAATAAAAATAAAGGATCAAAAGTTTATTAAAAAACGGGTCAGGTTTTCATTGTTTTCATAATTTTCAAAGCAATTCATAATCGTATTTGATGATAGTTATTTAACACGGTAATCGCCACGATATTTTCAGAAAAATATGCACATGGTATCATTATTAAATAAGAATATCAAGGAAACTTAATGTATCAAACAAAAAATTTTTTTGCCAAAAGTCCTGGCAAACTATATTTTTTTCTTTTACCAAATTGCATATGTCAAAGAGACTGACATAGAGATTATCACGAGCAAAGACAAAAACATACCAAATTGTTTTGAATTAAATCGGTCTATTTGTTTTCGAGTTCTGTGGCGATTGAATTATATCTAAAAATACATTCGTTTAATGAAAATATTTTTAATCGGATATGCTTTTGTCTGATTGGAAATTGGAATAATATTTTCAATTTAAATTCTATATCTACAAGACAATAATATTTGAGAATCGAACGAATAAAAAAGAAGAATAAAAGAGGTAGAAAATCTTTTCCTTTTATAGAGTCAGAATGATAAGCGATGACCAGTTAATTGTTAATGCCCAAACGAAGAGGGCGAATAACTTAACAACGATTTATTAATTAATGTGAATCTTTAACATTTATGTCAAGTTGGTTTTTATTAAATTCAACATAAATTTTGATTTGTAGCTTTGCAAAGTTGTGGCAGCTATATAACTATATCAATCGAATGTGGCAATGAATTTTGAGTATTATAATTATATTATTTACTTCAAAGGATTGAAATAATGTAATTTATATATATTATTTATTTTATTATTTTTTAGATTTGGTCCTTTGGTTTGGCGAGCCAGTAAAGAGAGGAAGAAGACAAAAGCTCAACGAAGCGCCAAGTGCAATAGTGGTGACAGTGGAATTCAAATCGAACCAAGCGAAGTAAATATTTTATCAATTTATATTTAAAATAATAAATAGTAGTCTGACCGGAGGCAGGTCCATGACATGAGAGAACCACAAATCAACGATTTTCCTTCCTTCCCTTGTTTCTTATTCTCATTACCATTCTGTAACCATTGATTACTTTTTATGATTTTTTATGTGCATATTTTCCTGTTCATATTTCTCCTTTGGCTTTCAGTTCTCTATATCTTCTCTTCTCGCATAAGTCACCAAACATCTGCATTCTTCTTCTTACCAATCCTTTTAATTATTCTGTTTTACCTTAGATGACCTCATGTAGAAGGCACTTTATTGGCAAAATTGGTCCAATTTAATTTTCTTTCCTTTTACTGAACGTGCTCTGTAGAGTTTTTCTTCGTCTATTTTCTCAGTTTTCTTCGTTTGTTACCTTATCTGTTCACTTTATGTTCTTCCTTCTTCTCTAGCACTACATTTCAAAACCATCCTGATAGTTTTTATTGGCCTTTTGAGACTCCATGCCTCTGATACATACAGAGCTGCAGACATAACACTTTTTAGTCTCTTCCGCAAATGAAGACTCAGTCTGCTCGTCAGTAGGTTTCTGTTCCTGGTAAATGCCGCCTTGGCGCTTGCAATCCTTGCCCTGATATCTCTTAATTTTATGCTTATTAGAAATACAAACTTCATAATTCTTATTTCCATAACTGTATTCAAAAATATATTTAAATTACTCAATTCTGATTTTTAGAACGATTATTATTATATATTTAATGCATGTAATACATTGCACTACGAAAATTTGAGACTCATTTTATTGCATATATTGGTTTTCTTCTACCATTGGCATTTAAATATTTGGCAGAATTTTTGTAATGCCCATATAAACCATAAGAAATATATTAAACTTTATATTTTGACTATGTAAATTCTTTGTGTGGTGGTACAAAATGTATTTCCCTGACAAAACTTGGAGCTGCGCCCGAATTTTGTAGCAGCATAAATGCAATAAATATATTTTAAGTTTAATAGCTTAGTATATAATATTGTTTTGTATAAGGTATGAAAAACGTGAGACCGTAACATTTTAAATTAACTACTAATACTTATCCAGGACTTGCATCTCCAGACAGGACTCTGAGAAATGGTAACTATGCATCCTGCAATAATTGAATAGTACATAACCTTAGATTATTCTTAATTTTTTATTGTTTTATTGATGAATGTTATATTTTATATATAGTGCCTATGTATAAAACACAGGTTCACTCTTAAACCTTTATACAGAAAATAACGTTCGTCAGCACTTTAAAATTAGTTTCGCAAACTTTGTGTAGGGAACTGCGTCATGCATGTTTGATTGAATTCGAAATAATGTATGAATATATTTTTATGACGGCTTAATATAATGTTTTTCTGAAATATTTTAGCTCGGAAGTTGTTCTGTGGGAGTCGATAGCTGTGATGAAGGCTGTGCGCCAGATAGTTTGACAGATTCTGGCAATGTCAGAACAAATTCGGATACGACAAGGGCTCTTTTCGAGAGATTAAAGGTAAAGAGAATGATTATTCTAAAATAATTTTAACTTTATAAATGAATGAATATTTGCATTGATCTGACCTATTTTTATATTATTATTAGAATAAATTAACTGAATAAATATTAGTCTGAATTGTAAGTTGCCTATTATTTTTTATTGCAAACAATTTGTGCAAGCCATATTAACTTCCCGAAGGAGAAGTTTATGTTTTCATCGTGCTGATTAGTTTTTGGTAAAGATCGGCCGGGCCGTTTTCTTGTAATAAAGTGTTTTCTTATGATATTAAAAAATTTTCGACATTTTTATGATTTTTTTTTGCCGGTAGATACCATAGTCTTATAGATCATACTAAAATATTACGGCCCTCCGACAAGACGTTTAGTTTTAAAAATTCTTCAAAATTTGCAAAAATTAATATCGTTTTTTTTGGCATTTGTCAAAATTAGACCTTTCATCGACGTTTTCTCAAAAACGCCTGAACCGATTTTATAAATTTAAAAGCCACTTGATGTATCTCAATGAGGACTATTGTTTGTCAGTTTTGTGCGGTGATCTGCCAAGCCGTTTCTTTGTAATTTGGAAAGAAGTGTTAAACTTTTCGTCCACATTTAAGCTTATACTACCGAACCGATTTTAAAAAATCAAAAACTGTTCGAAAGATATTTGTTGGGAATGATACTGAATAGTTTTAGGTGAAAATCTACCGTGCCGTTTTCTTGTAATTAACTGTTGCAAAAAAAAAATTAAGCTGATTTTCATGGAACTTTTTTTTGAGATATATATCATGATCTTATAGAACTTACTGAAATATTACGGTCTTACGATAAGCAGTTTAATTTAGAAATTGATCAAAGTTTGAGAAAATGAGTAGTCTTTTTGATGTTTGTTAAAATTAGAATTAGGCGATTTACTTAGTATAGCGATAGAGTACTTGATCTTAATGAACATACTAAACCATCCGGAAACCACTAATTCCTACGGAAACTGGTTTAATTACAAAAATTGTTGATTTTTGAAAATTTTCTTTTAGAAAATACTCCGAATTAACGTGATCGTTCGTGTTCAATTTGTGTAATAAATCGTCTCGGAGTGCTTTCAATCACATATAAATTAATTCATATTTTAGTGATGTCGATTATTTACACATATCAGGAAGTTCATGTAACTTGCCTCAAGGCAAAATACCAATGCCAACTAGTTTCGAAAATTATTTTTAGATCGATTTTATTGGCCTTGTGTAAAATTGTTCCATAAATCAAAAAATTCTCTTGTTTTTGCCAGGAATGAAATGTATAGATAAGTACTTAAAATGCATACGTGGGTTTAATATATAAAAAATGTGGCGGATTCCACTGGCATTTTTAACAAGGTCATCTACAGAAAGATCATAGGAGTTTGAAAAACTTAATCTTTACTATTGTTTTGTATCCATCTCATAAATCTGTCATAACAATATTCTCAAAGTTTACTTTATCTTCCAGATTGAACTCACTAAAGGAAATCGTCATCCCAACGTACGACGAGCTCATTCTGATATTAGCAGCTCAAGCAGTGGTGGTCAAAGGTTACTCCAGTGGGGTGCTAGTAGGAAATTTCAGGGACCAAGTACGCCCCTTAGACCGCACTTTGGTTCACTTCGTGCACGTCGGATGAGGAAGTCTTTGAGTCAGTGCGATATTGACAAATATGACAGCCCGCATCTTCGTAGGAAAAATAAATTAGGTATGTGTCGTGGTTTAGATTTATAATAATAATGATTGACACATTTTTATACGATAGTAGAAAATGTTAATAACATTTATATTTTAAAAAAAGGCAAACTTTGTCAACATCAATTTTAATTAAGATTTTGACCATATAATAAGAAAACAATACGTTGTTAGGCCAATGTGGAAAGTTGGTGTATTAGAAAATGACCAGCTTTGGAAATTGAAGGGTTGCATTTTACATGTTTTAATAGCATATGTGTTGAATATTAATGTAATTTGTTACAAAACGGACAAATTTTTATTGAATTTATCATTAATAGTTCAATACAATTATATAAAACATAATGTCTTTTTCTAAATGTTACTACCATCTAGGTTGTACATTGTACATATTCACAATTTATCTGACTATTTTTCAAGATGTATCTCACCATTTTTGCGTATTATAACACAAGTCTCTATAAACTAGAATGGCAAAGTGGTTTTTCATTTACAATATTGTTCCATCATTATAAATGGGATGTTAATGATGATTGATCGTCATGATGATTGAAGCACGCAAAATATTATTAAGGGTTTTAGGAAAATCTTTATGAATAAGATAATCTATTAATATTTAGCCTCATTTATTTTTTAACCCTTTCTTCTCGCGAATTGCGGAGATTTATATGCGTTTTGCCGCCTGTGCGGCGGCATGCGAGTGGAAAGGATTAATTGCCGAAGGAGAAGTTCATGCTTTCACCGAAATCCGACTTGCTAATTTCATGTTTTCTCGGCGTCTCAAATAATTTCGAATTTCTTGAGAAATTTAGAAAAATTGTGTGTGTGCGCCAAAATTTGCAACATCATTGAAGATTTTTCGAAAAAACAAAACTGAACCGATTTCCAAACTTTGAACGCTTTTTTAAGAAATTTATTAGGGGCTCGCGTTAATTAGTTTTGCGAAACATGAACCGAATTTTAAAATTGAAAAGAATTTCTAAAAATATCAGTGCTGATTAGTTTCTCGGTTCTGGTTTGTGTATTTGTTATTAATTATTGAAAATAAAATTTAACTAACATCCTAAAATATTATAGGCCTGCAAAAAGTGTGTTAACTATAAAGAGTGGAACAATGTGCTGTGTTATAATTTCAACATTCTATCGCCACAAGAAAAAAAATAGCTCAATATCAAAGTTCTCATTCTTATTCTCAAGTTTGTAACTTTCCTTAAGCAAAATGTTACTTACGTCTTATGTACAATATAAATTAATGACCAGAAATTAATACGCAATATCATTATTGCTTTTTAACTTCCCATAGGGTAAGTTATTGTAATCGTCCAAAAATCGAAATTGAAAATTTTTGCATTTCTCGACGTTTTGAAGGTTTCTGAACATTTTGGCATACCTCAGAAAAAATGGATGAGTGTGTGTAAAGTATGTAAGTATGGATACAATTTTCCAGTCACGTTTTCGGGCGCGCGGATCAACCGATTTGAATGGTTTTAAAAAACATTCGATTCCTATTTATAGGGAGATTAGTTTTTGGCAAAGGCAGGTTCAGCAGTTACGGAAAAAAGAGCAAAAAGTGCAGGAAATAGAAATCGAGTTTTTGAGAGAACGGAGCATCCGATTTGAATGATCTTAAAAACCATTCAATTAGTAATGATTGGGAGAAGTGTTTATTAGTTTTTGGCAAAGGCAGACCCAGCCATTTCGAGGATATGGAGCTAAATGTGTAAAAAATGGCAGTTTTTGAGAAAACTAAGCGTCCGATTTAAATGATTCAAAGAACTTTCTGCTTGTCTTAACAAAATAATTGATTTTTTTTTTCAAAAAAAAAAAAAATTGTATATCGAAAATAATTCAGATTTTATTTTTAATTCTGACTATAGTTCTAATATACTTTAAACAAATAATTTCACCTTTGCAATTCAGTTTATATAATTCTTATAAATATTAGACAATGTTACAATATTAATAATAATCTATTTGATAACATTTAGTATTCTTCTAACATTTCGTTACGGTACGGGAGGTTCCAGCAATTTGCCTTGAGGCACGATGCCATACACCCCACTAGTTTAATTTCATTTTGCCTAACCATAATGCTAAATCATCTCAATATATTTTTCATTGATAAATATTTACGCTTAATCATAGATTTTATAATAAATATACATAAATCAAATATTTATGTTTAATTTGAATAATCAATCAATTTTGTTTTTTTTGTTTTACACATTTTTAAATGTAGCCTAAATACAGAATTATCAATAATATTTCCTTCCGGCAAAATTATAAACATCCTCACCATATTTTTCATAAACAAAATGTATATTTTGACCAATATTTTTTTAAACAGATTTTATCAACTTTTGTAAATTCAATAAACGTAAATGGAGTATATTTTTATTAGTGGATAGGAAATCGGATTTATTCACTATGAGAATTGAAAAATATTTACCTTTTCAACAGTAACGAATCAAAATACAGACGAAGAAAGAACTTCGGAAGATGAATGTGTCAGCGATTCTGGTTCGTCACTAAGCCATACGGATTTACTAGTCATGCACGCGGCGAACGTGCAGGATTCTCAGGACTCCAGTTGTCCAGATTGCGAGGAATGTTGTCAAGCACAGGTGAGTTAATCGATAATTTGAAGAATTTTTATTAGAAATATTATATAGTTTCTATTTTTTTACTTCGCTATTATTAGTTAATTTTATTTGATATCACTGTCAATATTGCTCAATAATAAACTAATAGTTTCAGATATAAATGTCATTCAGGTTTATCATGTTATACATCGTATTTTGTTTTAATTGTAATTTCAATTATTATATTATCAGTATAATTTTCAATATCATTAACTTCCCGTAGGGTAAGTTATTGGAATGGTCCGAAAATCGAAATTGAAAATTTTTACATTTCTCGACGTTTTGAAGGTTTCTAAACATTTTGGCATACGTCAGAAAAAATGGATGTGTGTGTGCGTATGTATGTAAGTATGGATACAAATTTCCAGTCACGTTTTCGGGCGCACGGATCAATCAATTTGAATGGTTCATAAAACATTCGATTCCTATTGATAGGGAGTTGAGCTGATTAGTTTTTGGCAAAGGCAGGTCCAGCAGTTACGGAGATAAAGAGCAAAGAGTGCAGAAAATAGAAATCGAGTTTTTGAGAGAACGGAGCGATTTGAATGTTCTAAAAAACATTCAATTAGTAATGATTGCGAAAAGTGTTTATCAAATTTTGGCAAAGGCAGGCCCAGCCATTTCGAAGATACGAAGCTAAATGTGCAAAAATTACAGTTTTTGGGAGAACTAAGCATCCGATTTAAATGATTCAAAGAACTTTATGATTGTCTCAACAAAATAATTGATTTTGGAAAAAAAAATTTTTGTTTCAACTTTTTCTTTCAATTTTTTTTTTCAAAAAAAAATTTTTTTGTATACCGAAAATAATTCAAATTTTATTTTTAATTCTGACTAAAGTTCTAATATACTTTGAACAAATAATTTCAACTTTGCAATTCAGTTTATAAAATTCTTATAAATATTGGACAATGTTACAATATTAATAATCTATTTCAAAACATTCAGTATGCCTCGAACATTTCGTTACGGTACGGGAAGTTCCAGCAATTTTCCTTAAGGCATGATGCCATACACCCAACTGGTTTTTTACTATATCATATTCATGAATGTTATTTTCAGTAGTTAAAAAAGTTCTATTTCGTGATTTAGTTACTTGATGCTGTTAATTGAGGATTTATTGCGTTTTTATTTGTCTTGTATTTATAGCACATTTATATTGTTTAATGGCAATAATAACTAAGCGTAATTAATTGTATTCTTTATTCATTTAATATAAATATTATTTCTAAAATTAATTAACAATATATTGTATTAGATCATTTTATACGATGTTTAAGTGACCAACAACATATTTTTTGTAACTTTTTATTTTATGTCGGATTCAAATTCGAGATAGAATCTTACAGAAGAGGGGCAGTTTTTTTTTTTTTTTTTTTTTTATTTTATTGGCTTTATAAACTGGTACATTAGCCATATACTAAATTACATAATATCTACACTATCTCTTACATATATATCATTGTTTTATGTATATTGCATTTATAATTTTATATTATTACATTTGATGTAAATATAAAGAGCTCCATATAATCTTGTATCTGTCATCACTGTTATAAAATTAATTGGAAGGGAGATTTTTTGTTTAATTATTTCCTCCCATAGTTTTTGTCTGCCCTTTTCCCAACGTTTACACTCCATGATGATGTGCTCTGCATCCGCCCTAGTCGCTTCGCCCAAGCAGTAGCAACTAGGATCGATATCGATCCCAATTCTGCTTAGGCAGAACGGAGCGTAAGAATGATTTAGTCTTAATCTACACAATGTTGCGTAAAACGGCCGACACTCCTTAAATCCGTCATACCATGGTTTGACTGGAATTTTTCCTTGTATCATACCATAAAATTTACCTTTAATTCTAATAGATAACTGAAAATCCAATTGCCAAATGTTCCGTATGTTTGCTCTGTTAAATCTTTTTATGTCTCTATAAGATATTCCATCCGCAGCAACAGTCCCTGTATTTATTGCATCTTTGGCGCCGTTATCCGCCGCTTCGTTGCCAGCTATCCCAATATGACTTCTTACCCATACAATGCGTAACTCCCAATTTTTGATAATATCGCATGTATGTCATTTAGAGTATCTATCGTTAATAATGACGGGTCCTTTCCCAACGACAACATGCCCTCAAGAGCAGACCTGCTATCGCTGATTATTACCGATTTCTTCACATTATGTTCATCAATATACTTTACGCACCTATTAATAGCATACATTTCCGCTGTATATATCGACGCATCTTTATCTAGTTTATATTTGTGAAGGAATTTGTCCCCTGATGGTAAAAACACGCACCAACACCATCTGAATTCTTCGAACCATCTGTATAAAATCTATCATAGTCTTCAAATGTTTCATGTATACTTCCTTCGACCTCCATCCTACATTTATTGGTATCTCCGCTATAGTGCGCATTGGCGAAGTCGATTTGAATTATATTTTTCAGATTAGAAGAAGTAACATCGTATTTGAAATGAAATCTTGAGGTTGCAGTCCAAGTTTGTAAGAGATTACATTTTTCTACCACTTCACGATACGCAGTTATTAGTATAGGCCTCTTCCTATTTCTCCAGTATGGGCTGTTCAGTTCATTATTGATCTGATTCACATTCTTTAATACTACGTTGTTAAATTTCATTCTATCTATGATAAAGTTTGAAGCCAATAACCTCCTTCTCAGGTGTAAAGGATATATGTTAGCTCCAACATGTAACGCATTGATAGGCGTGGAACGCATGACCCCCAAACAAGACCTCAAAGCTTTGTTTTGAATTATGTCCAGTTTGCTAAGTACACTTTTGGATGCGTCGCCATATATGAAACTACCATAATCCAACTTTGATAGTATTAATTGCTTATATATTCTAAGAGAAATCTTGATATCAGCACCATAATTTATGTGATTAAGAAACCTGAGAATATTCAGTGCTTCTTCACATTTAGAGACTAGATAATCAATGTGTGGTTTCCACTTTAATTTGTCATCAATAAGTAGCCCGAGGCATCTAATTGTAGGTTCCACCTTCAGAACATAATTGCTTATGCTGATATAGTCTGGAATTATAGACTTCCTATGTCTTGTAAAGAGGCTTATTGTACTTTTATTTTCTGACAAAACAAACCCTAACGATGTGCACCAGTTATGGAAGAGTTGCATTGTTATATTCATTTTATCAATAGCCTCATTCAAAGTATGAGCCTTATGTAGAAGTATAATATCGTCTGCATACTGCATAATTTTGACTTCCAGATCTAGCTCGGTTTGTAACTTGCAGGTATATAGATTGAATAATAGCGGACTAAGAACGGATCCTTGAGGTAGTCCTTCTTTCATTTTACGTGGTCCAAATTGTAAATTGTTACACCTAAGATTGATTCTGCGGTCTGATATTAGATGGTGTATATGAAGAATAAATCTTCTTGGCATCTTGATATCAGACAGAATCTTCATTAATATAGGTATTTGAACGCAGTTATATGCATTAACTAAGTCCACGTTTGCAGTCATCAGGAGATTATTTTTTGCTAAATTAATTTTAATTTCATACACTAAGGATGTGATAACGTCAATTGTACCCCGATTATTACGAAATCCTAGCATGTAACTCGGGAATATCTTGTTGCTTTCCGCCCCACCATTCCAATCTTCTTTTGATCAGTCGTTCGAATGTTTTGCTATACATGAAGACAATGATATAGGACGATATGATTCTGCTCTTGAAGGATCTTTACCTGGTTTAAGAATTGGAATTGTAATTATATTTTTCCACTCGTGAATAGCTGTTTCGGTGGTCCAAACTTGGTTAAGAACCCGTAGTAACATATTCTTGCCAAAACTGGATAATTTATTCAACATTGGATAATGAATATTGTCCGCACCCGGTGTAGTGTTCGAATTTGTTTTTAGTGCCAAAAGAAGCTCCTGCATTGCGAAAGGACCTTCCAGTACATCCATTTCTTGTACGCTTGGTATAATTACCTCATTTGTTGCTGAGGCCGGGGTAATATTGTTAAGGAACTTATATGATTCATCTATCGGAAAAGGATTTTTATGCACAACTCTATTTTTCAAAGCTTTCACCTTGTCCCAAATGTATTTAGATGAAGTTGATCTTGTAAAAGAATTACAAAATTCAATCCATTTGTCCCGTTTTTTCTGTTTGAACGTTATACGACATTTCGCTAAAATTCTTTTATATTCGATGTAATTAGCCAAAACTGGAGATCTCTTGTATTTTCTAATAGCTTCTAACTTCTTCTTATTAAATTTCTCACACTCTTCATCCCACCAAGGCGTTGACAAATATCTATCTTTTTTGCCTAAGTAAGGTCTTGACATGGGAATTGCTAACAAAGCCGCCTGATTTATGCATTGAACAAACTTACCGTACATAGCCGATGGATCTTTATCAAATATCAATTCTGACAATAACTTATCTGTCACTTGCTCATATTTCTTCCAGTCAGCTTCTTTGATCTTCCAAATATGTCTGTTTCTAATATTACTGTTATTCATATTTACTTTACTCACTCCAATCCGAATTGATATACCAAGGTGGTCCGATCCCAAAGTTTCATCTGTGACGTGCCATTCCGCACTGAGCATCACAGATGGATTGCATATAGATAAATCTACCGCAGAAGGATTTCTGTCATGTCTCCTCAATAACGTAGGCGATCCGTCATTCAGAAACACATAAACCCTCTGAGTTAATGGCTTCGCTTAAAAAATTTCCATCATGATTATTATGAATGCTACCAAAACTCGTATGATGCACATTAAAGTCACCCGCAATTAGAAAAGGCGGCGAAATGTTTCCGAATAATGAAGTCCAATAAGTAAGATTTGTTCTGTGTCCTGGAGCACAGTAAATTGCAAAAATATTAAACACAGTACCATTATTGATTATGATTTTGGCCCCACAAACTTGAATTTTGTGTTGCTATATATCTCGGTGTTTACAGTTTCGGAACATAGTCTACGGCAAATATATAAAGCTACACCTCCGAATCCATCGTCTCTATTGGTATGTATTAATGAGTATCCGGATATATCATACTTAAATTCCTCTTTCATCCATGTTTCAGACAAAATTACAATATCAATTTGATTGGCTTTCATATAGGCTTCCAATTGCAGCTTCTTTGAATATAGTGATCTAATGTTAATTTGAAAATTTTGATCATAAGGATATGTATGAATATAAATATTATATTTTTTTTTATTTTTTTAAACACTATGCTATGTAACATGCTAATCAAAGGATACTACAAGTAGAATACTCAAATTGTATAAGGTAATGACATTCCTATTTACATTTTACCAGCTTTATAAATCACTATCATCTTTTTCAAGTCTAAGTTGTGACCTCTCCAACTTTTTAGTATCTCAACTAATATTTTATAGTGTTCATTATTGTTCGGCATATAACTCGTTTAATGTTGTCTATAAAGTCTTCGAGTAAATCAATGGAACTATCTTGATTGCCAATGATATTACTACTATCTTGATTACCAGTGATATTACTACTATCATCATCCTGTTCATGTACTCTGTTTATTTTCAAGCGTTTACTTGGATTATATTTGGGTTCGGTGCTCTGTTTTGAATTGTTACTCGTTCATTTTCATTATAATTTCTCGATGTAAATTTTGGAATCGACCTAATTTTGGTTTGAAGATTTATGGACAAATCTTTTTGGTTTACTGAACTGTATAGTATTAGCATATTCAGCTTCCCCTACTTCCTCTAAATCTGATAATATTTCGAATCTATTTTTGTCCAAATTACCTGATTTGCCCGCATATAACAACTCTGTTTGTGTGAAAAACTGGAAAATCTCTATTCCAGTCATTACTAGCATACCCTGTTCTCACCACTCTAGCGGTATTTATTTTGGTTTTGGTTTTAAAGCGTTTTTGCTTCATGGAAGGCTATATTTTGCCATGCCATCATTTCTTTATTTGCTTATTTTTTATAAATACGGACACTCTTGTTATTTGCAGGGTGGTTTCCTCTACATAATGCACATTCCACTTTTTGTTCAT